GCATAATTGCGGGGATCTTAAATAGGTGTGACAAGCAAGCAAACCAATCGGATGACCTACTGAAATATTTAATATCATAAAACCTCCACATTACTCTTTAATAGTGCAGATTAAGCACCGGAAATCGTTTCTGATCCTCGATATTAGTTGATGCATAAGATGGTTTAATCCCATTTTCTGTATTATTGCCCAGGTTGTGATATCCATTCCCCTCAGGTCCTGTTGTCAGTTAATCTATCTTGTGTAAAATTAATGGATAGGTTTTAGATGTAGTAGCTTTATCTGTTTATCATTCAATGTACGCCTTCAAATGTATTGTTCTCACTGCTGTTTAATACAACTAGACGTTACTTGAAAGTGTTTCTCATTTACGATTCTCTCTTAAGCCCCTGTACAGTGGGGTCGTGTGGCGCAACGGCATGGTGCTTGACTCGAAACCAAGAGGTCCCGAGTTCGAGTCCTGACAGGCCACCGATGTTGTGCCCTTGGGAAAGGCAGTTAACACGGTTTTCGCCACTTAACTCAAGTTAAAATGAGTATTGTCTGTCCTGTATTTGTTTCTATGTGTGGGACACAACACCAGGAACAGCTGCCTGTGTCCCACGTGTATTGCACTGTTTTCAATTTCAATAAATCAAATCAAATCAAATCACACAGCCGAATTTGGCCTCCCGAACACTGCCGAACTCCCCCCCAACCGTTGATAGGAGTAGGTCGGGAGTAAGGTCGGCTGGTGTTCGTCTTCGGCTGCGCCAGCCGAATGCTTCAAACATTCGCGTGTTGACGGGAGGCTCGGCTATGGTTGGCTGGCGTTCGGGAGGAGGTCGGGCGTGGTCGGCTGGCGTTCGGCATTAGGTCGGGTGTGGTTGCCTGGCGTTCGGGAGTAGGTCGGCTATTGTTGGCTGGCGGTCGGGAGTAGGTCGGGCGTGGTTGTGTGGCGGTCGGGAGTAGGTCGGGCGTGGTTGGCTTGCAGTCGGCAGTAGGTCGGCTATTGTTGGGTGGCGGTCGGTAGTGGGTCGGGGCGTAGTGGACAGTGGGATTTGAATCAAATTTAACTCGAATTCTAATCGATTCGTATCGAAAGGTAGGCGTGGTCTAAATCTGGCCAGACTGCTCCCGAACTCCTGCCAACCTGCAAGTTGGTCGGCAGGTGTTCGGGGGAGGGTTCTGAATGTGCGACAGGGGCTTCAAACGTACTGGTCCGAATATACCCGTCAGACCAATGCTATTCAATTCGATACAAATCATATCCTTTACAACTATATATTATCGACATAATACTGACGTTGTTAACTTTATCACGGTGCCCAATACATCTTTGCGCTGGTGGAGGCAATATATTCAAACTTCGCAGTCGCCATGTAGCTATATGTATAGACTACATTTTATAACATGGACTCCATATGAACCGCAAAGTAAGGCATATACATGGATCTATATAGGTTTATGACTTTTATGTCGAAGTTTATTGATTGAATTTTATTCGTTATAAATCATCTGTTCTCTCGTGACTGTCATAAAAATGAAATCAATCGTGCTACAGAGACAGGCGAATAAACCAACATGCACACTTGCAATTTAGCCAATCCAGGCGTACTATATAACGTTGGAACATTGCCGAGATAGCGAATGGAAGCTAAGTTCAGCCATAGTTCCTAACTACATCAGTTTGTAAATTATAAGTTTGTATTATCACGTATTACTTCCCCAAATTTGACATGCTTTGATACGAGTGATTGTACCGAAATGTAATGTCGGCATTGGTAGTTCAAGTTCTGCAACAAAGTTGTCTGCAAGGCTAGTCAGTAAAATGTGCACATGTGATATGTTTGGAACATTGCAACTTTGTGCTGTTTCTATACACGTTTTCCTTGGGTGAAAGTATGATGACATAAGCAGGATTTTTTCTTTGTCAACATGATCTTTGTACAAAAGGCGAACATATCGACTTGTTTACCACGTCGTAAAGATCGGAGATATATTTTATGCACAACTAGAAAATAAGATATCATATGTTACTATTATCATATCTACATTGAAGATCAGTATCTACTTATCTTAATATTGCTGGACAGAAAACAAAGTAGGATACTTAGGCCTCATAAGTAAATCATACCTATGAGGCTTATAGGGAAAAATTGTTGTGTTTCCTGTTTCAGTCCGGTAAAAAATAGGGTTAGTAGGTAGGGATTATCTTTTTTTTTCTTTCTAGACTTTGGCAATTTCTAGTGACCCAACTTAATAATACAATACAGTTTAAGAAAGTAAAACTTGCATGAAGACACTTACATTTTCGATGTCAATGTTGGAAAACCGACTGTACAACGTTTCATCACTCAGGTGTCAGCTGCAGATCATGGAGTTAGAAAAGGTCGATCAGCTCGAAAGATTATTCCCCTTTCAGGGGTCCACACAAAAAAAGTCTAGGGTCAGCAGTTTTTTCTAGGGTAGGTCGGGAAACAGGAAACACATTTTTTTCCTACGCCTGACTTCTAGGAAACTGAAATAAACGATGAGGTGTTTTGTTGCACACGTGGGGCTATTTAAACACTAAAGCTGCAGCGGGATTATTAGAGGTGAAAATATTAATGAGCAAAATTGTTTCCTGTATCTCCGTAAACGAGGTGGCATCGGCTGAAATCGACAATCAATATTTATGACCCCGATAGGACTAGAGGAAGATGACAAGAAATATGGACACTATAAAAGCGGGTGTCTTGGGGGACCTGTGTTTTTCCTGTTTGTTGTAGTTTACTACGGGGTCAACTGGAGGTTTATAGTTGATGACAGCTGTTTGGGAGACTACGGTGAATGGTTGATTAAGCGCACAGCACCTTATATCAATAAATAAATATATAGTGCTACTGTGTATCTGTTACTCAAAGGATCACCTTTGCTTTAGTAATCTAAAGTCAACTCTCAAATACTCAGTATTACACAGCTGTATATACCTTTCTGAAACCAAGCGATTTTAAATTATTAACTGATTCATAATCACTCACTCACTCACGATCACTAGGATGAGATTCCCTCGTAATACTGTATAGATCATAATATCTTAATAGCTTAACTCGGTTCCTGTTACCTGGACGTTACCCATTTGACATTATTTTGTCTTGTGTTGTAATTTTTATTTTATGTCTAGTGTTGACGTGAAAATAAGCTATATCACTTGAGTGCGTCACCACTATGTATTGTTATTATATAATTGTTTGTACGTTGAAATAAAATAAAGCACACACACAGCACGTTCGCAGCATCTTAGACAGAGCATTATTCATACAGGAGACAACTTAGCATTCAGCTGACTCGTCATGTCGCTGTGTAATACTTTTGACTCGACTGTTATTTAAAGGGGGATGGGCCTAAAACGCAGTACAGTACATCACCGAAACTGGTAAGATCCAGTTTTAAGTCCACCAACTCAAGCTAAGGTAGAATATAATCACTGTGTGCTGAGCACAGTTTAATATGTGAATAAAAGGAAGCCAAAATCTCATTGTGTAGGCGTATGTAGCATATCATTTCCTCATTGTGGAACTAGAATCATGATAATAAAGCGGCATTTACTTCACTGGAAAAAGATGTGTTCACATTGCAAAATCCATTTAATTACAATCATGGAATGAGATATCAGGCAGGCAGCACAACTAGAACGTTGTAAAGTATGGGCTTAGTTAATTTCTTCAAGGCGTAATTGTCTGAAATTAATGAGCGCCGGTTGTTAGCACACAATCCCGAAGGAAGCGTATCGACTATTAACAGAATCTACTGTCAGCTCAATTTTGTAATATTAAGGCCACAGCAAGTAAATTTTATGGATGACGTCCTCCACAGGCTCCAAATCTAAGGCGAGAGGGCGGAAAAAAGGCGGGCCAAAAAAACAAGATCCCTACATTGTCAAATTTTGACATCATAAACAAGAAATGATACCTATATTGTGCTACGTTTACTGAAAACTATTAGTACATCAATTTGTCACTGAAACAACTTTGAAAAATAAGTTGCCAATCATTGTACAAATGGTTTTGATTCAATGGTAATATACACAGCCACCTTCACATATGAAAAGAATGAAATACATCACTACATCAAAGCCTTGTCTTGTCTGCTCTCTTCATATTTATCTGCCCTCCATGTTCCGGCATGGCAACAGACATTTTCTCGGCATGTAGACCACTGTCAGGGGGCAACAAAATTTCTTTTCGTATTACCTGGATGTCTAACCTTCATCGACGTAACAAAATTTCTTGCTTTTTTTTTTTCAAAATCAGGCGAAAATTAATGCGCGCGCTGATGTCATCCATAAAGATTACTTGCTGTGGCCTAATCGCATACATCGTAGGTTATTTCTTTCCCGACAGTGTTGTTGATGACTCGTAGAGGGAGTTTTCTACAAAAACCGTCCCGTCGGCAGGACCCGCTGCGCATGCGCCCTCCTCAGTACTGCGGCCCTCCGTAGACCACTGGCTTCCGTCACTAAAGCTGAAGTAAAGAAACTTACGTTACTGAAGGTACAAATCCGATGCAAAATGGGGTGGAGTGGAGAATGGGGCAGTCTTCACATTACTGGCACTGATGACATACATTTTCAACAGATTCGCGTCACTTGATTTGATTTGATTTGATTTGATTCGATTTATTTATTAGGCTGTATAAGACATATGTAAACAGCCAGGACTGCCTAACTAGCCGGAGGCTATTATAAAGGGCTAGCCCTCACAACAAGGAAATAAACAATTAGGAACAGGTAACAGTTAACAGTGCCAGTTACACTTCAGATAAAATAAACATACTTTTAGCCTGCAAAGGAGTCTGGTGGAGACTAGTACCTACCCGCTCCCGAACAGATTATTCTCGAACATCCGTTCCTTGTTTGCATTTACATTTAATGTAATGATGTAAATACCAATGCCATTCAGGCAACATCATAGTTCTATTTTGTATGTCTGCAATGTTGGTATGGAAATAAATAATTGAAGTCCTGTTTTTGGCTGTACTTACCCGCTCCCGTACAGATTATTCTCGAACATGGTCCCCGGACCACTCTCTATGGAGATGCGGCTGTCTAACGTACTGTATCTCGTACACTTCACACTGGTGTCCTCCTCAAAGTCGGGCTGGACATGTCTCGGTTTTCTGATAAAAATAAAAATCAAGAACTAAGTAACACCTTTAGTGCACTATGCACAAAGTAACATCTAGCGTCAGTGCACAGTAAACCAGTCAGAATTGCCCTGATGAAGAAGACATACGGTCATCGAAACGTCGGCTCGTGAAAAACAAATGGTTGTGACCAAAGAACTTTGCTATTCATTCGTTTACCAACCTGATGAAATTATTTACGGAGAAAAAAATCAGTTTTATTCATATATTTGAGACATTCCTTATGCATTATCCTGTGCAATGCATCCACGCCAGAAAATAACAGACATCGTTTTGCATGCAAGAATTGTATGTAAAACCTTCAATCTAATGTATTATGGTTAGGATTTACCTTAGAAAAAGGATCCAGGTCGCGAACGCAATGACGAAAACGGCAAGCAGTACTGCTAGGATGATTATGGCTGCCCTCCCTAAATGTGAACAGAGAAAATATGAACATCAATGATCGATTTGAACATGCAAATAGCAGGAAATTGAAGACAGGATTTGAAATAACCTTTTCTGGGACCTTTGACCTAACTTGTCATTTTTGGCGGTCCTAGTACGTAGAAATAGCTACAGAAACACAAGCAAATACAAACAAATTAAAATCAAAACACTCGTTCTAGTCGTTTGGTGTAATGTAGCCAGCTGCCGCCGCGCCGCGTGCCTGCGAAGCTGGTGTGTTACACCGAAAAGCGGTTATACCTAGCCTCCTTCGTTGTCTTGTTGGGCGTCGGCGTTATTTTTTCTCTGAGCGACGCCAGTAATATGACGCCGCGAGGGACGATTTGCTGCCGAGGGAGTTTTTGCCACGAAGAGAAGGTTGTTGGAGCGCGACAAGACTGCGAAGGAGGCTAGGTTATACCGGCTATACTGATACAGATACAGAGGTAATCACACACACCTTTGTTAGATCTACCTGACAAGGCCTTTCCGGAAGATTCCGTATTCCGGTTAGCAGAATCCGGAAGGGTGGGTGTGTAGAGCTTTTCCGTGGTAATCCGGAGTGTTGGTCTCCACGGTACGTCGTTGGGCAGTCGTGTGTTAGTCGGGATGTGCTTAACAGTTGTGGATGGTGATTCTTCAGCAGATCCTAATATTTAAAATATTTCAGTCACAAATCAGTCAGTTTAAATACAGTTAGAACAAAAATGGGCGCATCTAACAAAGGATGATATATTCATACAAATATTGTATTCTGTTAACCATGGTGTATTAGAAAAACTCTAAATTCGTGTACAAATGAAGAGAGAAGAAACATGTACAGCTTAGATATCGATAGAACATAGCAAAGCTTGCGTAATCCCTTTTTGTAACTTGAGAGTGCATTTAGCCCCACTGGGGCATGAATATGCAATAAACTTCATTGTCATTGTCACAAAAAGGCGTTATCGCTAAGTGCGATTGAATAGAGTGATCGAGCTTCTGTAATCGGCTAGCGCCATCTATTGGAAATCCGCAAGATTGCATCTAAACATTGAAAAGTAATTCAACTACACAATGTATTTTGCTCAGGACGTCGATGAAGGTTGGACATCCAGGTAATACGATACGCCAAAAAGAAGTTACTCAAGCAACTCAAGCAACTGGATATGATTTTGGAAACGGTCAGACGTTTCAGTTAGTATTCACTGACTAAAGCTAGTGGCGAAAGCTAGTGGATGCTAGCTGAAACGTCTGACCGTCTGACCGTTTGGCGTATTTTGCTCAGTGCCTTATGTCATTACAAAACTTAACACAGCACGTTTGCCTTAGTCTCCACCAGTCTCCTTTGTATTTTGAATAACTTATGATAGTAGAAATCGGCTTAAAAAGAATGTAGCTGACCAGGGGAGTTGGCCAGCCATAAAGGATCCATTCCTCCGATTTCTACTGTTTATTCAGCCTGCAAAAGAGTCTGGTGGAGACTAGCCTCCGTAGCAGGCTTATGAAACTGGGGGTTTGGTGGTCTTCGGCTGTTTTCTGATAAGCCCAGTTCTAAAACGGGGGTAATTCAACCAGGCCGGCTATATTGTCTATATGCAATCAGAAAATAGCACATAAAAGCTCCCAAAGACCATGAAGACCCCCAAACCCCCAGTTTTTGGCATGCTATAGAGGCTAGGTGGAGACTACGCTTGCCTTACTTACGGACGCACTGTTGTACTTTCCCTCCCCACTGTCCGGTGACGTTACAGTTGAGGACGAACATGGGAAGTTTGGCGTCCATCCGGTACCCGTGCTGACAGGCGTACACGATCCGCTTGCCGTAGGAGGACTTCTGCGCCGTCCCTTTCACTATCTCCATGTTGGGGAAGCTGGGTGGCATGTCACAGGTCACAGCTGTAAAAATCAATTCCGTTTATTTATTTATTTATTGCTCATCATTTTACAAATGTACAACAATTCCATATTAATATCAAAATGTGATTGCCCAACAGTATGAACGCAACATGGATCAAGACCATTTGAAACACAAAATCATATTGAAATTTCACTTCAAATCTTAACATTTTTATGCAGTATATAACAGCATTTATGTCAACCCACGTGCAAAAACGTAGTATATAACAACATTTATGTGAACCCATGTGCACTACTGATATATAGCCATCGTCACATCTCAATCTGAGACATAAGTTTAAGAACTGAGAAACTTTATACATGAGATCGTATTTTGAAACCATAGATAAGTCACAGTACAGAGAACTATTTGAGGCGAAGCAAACCATCCTCATCCGTCCTCGTTTTGGTCCAAACTCACGAGCGTGTTCTCGAGTTCTCGTCAGGCTGACTTCTCTCGCGAGAACACAATTCAACATGGCGATCGCACTTGATTTGCAAATGGGTCTGATGGAACTCACATGACAGTCTGCACCCAGTGGCATGTCAGGACTCGAACCCGGGACCTCTTGGTTCCAAGTCGAGCACTCAGCCGTACTTAATTTGCAATTGGAAATTGATCTGGTACTGTCTGATGGAAAGATATCAACTCACATGACAGTCTGCACCCCATGACTTCAACTCTCATGGCGACGGCATTTTGCCAGCGGACAGGGTAGAACCGGATGTAGCGAGTGGCGACCGGATATGGCAGCGTGTTTAACTTCCAAGTGGCGACAGCATTGATGCCGCCGTCAAATATCTGAAGAAAAGTGACAAGAAATATTCATAGATGCATTCTACTGCGCTAAAGTACTAAATGAATGCCATTATTGTACATAAATCATTGGTTCAGTTTACTTACAATTTATGTCGATTGTTCTTAATTATTCAGAATCTACTTTGGAAATATGTTAGCAAAATGTACACAAATACAAAATGTGTTTAGAGTTAAAACTTAAGATCCAACACAAAAAGTTCTCTCACCTCGAGCAAACTACAAAATGTATATGGCTACTTTTATATTTCAGGAAAAGTAAATGTTTGATACTGTTTCTTTCCTTTTTATAAGAAATGACAAATTTCTCAATATTCTTAAAAATGTAATACATCCAATGTCAAGGGTTTTTCTCATATTCATTATGTTTTGTATAAATAGTCAATGCCAAATTCACTGTCATCGTTATCAATGTATTTAAATAATGATTATTTCAAAAGAACAATGCGCCTGACTAACTCACCATGTCGTGCCAAGTTTTGGGGTCCCGGTAGGTGACCCAGAACTTGCCGTTACTGGAGTACTTGATCTTGAACCTGGTGACGGAACAGTCCTTACACACCTCCACCGTCTCCCAGCCGTACCTGCTCCACTTCTGCTGCTTTCTGCAGTAACGATACCCCTAGTCCGGGAGAACAAAAACATGTCAAAAAAGGAAAAAAATAAATAAACGAAAGATCCTACTACACCGACGAATTTTAAGAGTTTTCGGGAATTTCGCATTTTGTTATGTTTACCATCGCAGAAGGAAAAACGTATTGTTTCTTGCTCAGTTTCCTCTTTTCCAAACACATAAGGTCAATGACCTGGACCAGACGTCTGTCACCATGGTAACTGTTGCTGTAGCAACACCCTGTGGTGTCGGGTTACATTATGTAGCAGAGCAGAGTTGGAGAAGCTATTTTTTTATATATTCATTCATTATTCTGATTCTCTCTGTGCATTCCTACAAAGTCGTACATCAGGAAATATCACTAAGTTTCCAAACATTCTTGCTGACACAGAGCCAAATCATGTACAACTTATCATTTCTATTTCAAATATTTCAAGACCTAGTACGCAAAGTTACGAAAAGGTCTCCTAAACATATATTGAAGTTGCAGCGTCTCTCCCAACACATATTCACCCCTTTATTTCCTGGCCAAATCATGTAAAACGTATCATTTCTATTTCAAATATTTGAACACCCAGTACGCACAGTTATGAAAAGGTCTCCTATACTAGCCTCTACCAGGCTTGGGGAGGCGGCTGGAAAGAGTAGAAATCGGCCAAATAGAGAGATAAGCATGCCAAGGGAGTTTGTCCGTTGAGAGAACTTTTCGCCGCACGATTAGTGGACTTCAAAGAAATAGCGACCCCGCACAGGCTTGGGGTGCGGCGAAATGTTCTCTCAACGGACAAACTCCCTTGGCATGCTTGTCTCTCTATTTGGCCGATTTCTACTCTTTCCAGCCGCCTCCCGACGCCTGGTAGAAGCTAGTATAGGAGCTTT